CTTAACCAAGGAGTTAATAAACGTTTCTTTCATATCTCGCGAGGTATATTAAAAACCCCGGTGCTCCGGCGGATTGTTTAATGCAAATCTCACCGAGGGGAGAGAATTCTCCCGGAAGACAAACAGCGTTTCTAAAAACGTAATTTCCGTAGCTACGTCCATCCTACGCGGTACCCGAAGTCGGTCATATTTCTCGCATTATGTCTCCTTCCGACGATCCCTCAGCTGGCTAACTGCGCGCTGTCCTCCCGTGTCTCTAAATGTTTTCGCATTGTTTTATGACGCGTCGCGCCATTGTCGTGCCGTTTGCATCAAAACGCGTATTAAGTTACATACATTTTCCCCGGTCTAGTGGACCCTGGTCCCACTTTCCGCCGTCATTGTAGCCAGCCATACACGATTCAACGCTCGCTACGTGATTCTGCACGTCGCTCATGCGGAAGTTGCATACCAAATCTGGAGCGAGCTTATGCGCTCGTGTGCAAGAGGGTAGTTAACGAGGTGAAATGCAACCGGTCCGAGAGGATCAATTGTAGTCCCTCGACTACCGCGCTCGAGGAATGTAACGTAACATTACGCGCGCCGGGTATTTCGATTGGTCACCCTCCCCTTTGACCTACGAATTCCTCGACTTTTATTAATTGGTTATTCGTTGAATCGAAATGTGGATCCTGCTCCCTTTTTCCGATCCTTTTTCCCTTCTTTTAATATCTTTTTAATAATATGACATATCGTTTAATTATAAATATCACAAATTAATATATTCTTGATATAAAGTTCCTTATCGAAATACGCTATAACTACACGAGGAGAACAGTTTTGCTGACAAACCTGATACAAATTTGAAAATAATTTTATTGGACTATCAAAATTATTATGTAAAATATTTAAATGATGATGATATACTGCAAATACTTTTTTGCAATATTTCAATTAATTTGAACGCCGTATACAATAATTTTAAAAGTCCAACAGAATTATTTTCAGATCTGGCTAAATTTTTAGATTTATGAGCAAAACTTTTTTTGCGTGTAAATGCAGAATTTTTATTATTTATCCACGTCCGAACATTCAGTTTAAAATAAATTTATTGCAGTATTAAATTGTCGGGTGCGAGATAATATTTTATTATATAAAGTAGTTTTGAAATTAATATTGCTATTGAATACAAACGGCGTAAAATTTTATCACGCAAACGTAAACCGAATTATCGTCCGTAACACAAATTATGTTTCATCATTGGCGCATATACCCGTTTGGCATATATTCCGTTTGATCCTATTTCGTTTACAAAGGCCGTAAATATAAAACGTGCTTAGCGGCACGTTTTAATTGTCGCTTGGCTGTACCGTTTGTACATTCGATGCACAATCAATTTTACATTGTCATAAGCAGAGATGCGAGCGAGGCAGATATCAAGCTGTGAATTAGTTGTTTTATTATCGATTATCGAAAGTTATTGAAACACCGAGACACGTAACCGCCGAGCTTCCCCCTCGTAACAAATTCATCCGTCGTGATATCTGTCGTTCGACGAGATAGCGTCTGTATTATGTTGTTCGAAACTCGATCCATAAATGTCGGACACGTGTGTGACGTATCGCGAACACGCGCGGGCTCGAGCGCAAATCTTGACCCAGAGGCCTATACGTCGGTATATTTCGCATGATCGGGACTTCACCTTGGTCGGAAATCCACTTTTAGGAGACGAATGCCATGAGAATGCGTTGGAGGGAAAAAGGGTCGCGTGGGCCTTAGCGGGCCGTAAAGGTACGTGTATGATAGACGGTGTTTGCCGAGGGTGCGCCGGTCCGACAATTAAGGTGCGCCCTTAGCAAACACTTGTTGTCAGTGTCGGCCTTCGCGGTATTATATTCTAGTATCTCGAGTGAAGTATTAGAATATACATTTCTCTTTCCTCACTCATGTTCGCGCGTTCGCGCTTTCTTTTTATTTCTTGTTAAGTAAACAACAGTGTTTGCGTTCTTACAATCTAAAAATATTGCACAGTTTTAGGAAATTATGAGTATGATTGAAAAAAAAAAAAAATACAGATGCTATAAAAATTCATAATTATATAATTATAATTATCCTTTCTCAATTAAAATTAGATAATTTGGCATAAACGGCCAAAAGTTTGAAAGTCATTAATTGAAAATATCTACTATAAAATGAAAATCAAGTTTATGCCTTATAATTTAAGATATCTTTATTGTTTTATTCAGAATGTTTCATAATAATATGAAAAATAATATAAAATGTGTGAATTTTACAAAAAATATTTTTATAAGATGAAAAGCACTAAAATAAACACTTTTTTTCATCATTCTAGCCACTCTTATACTCAATTGCTTATTTTACTAATCTAGATAATCCAGCTGTAAGTTTATTAATTTTTTCTGGCAGAAAACAAAAAATATTTAGTTTATATTCATTACTTACATTCATTATATTCCTAGAAAAAAAACCCTTTATTCACATTTCATTTTCTTGAAGGCAAATAATATTGTGTTAATCACAGTGCAAACTATACTAAATATAATGTTTATTTACTTTCAAATTAAGAAAAAAATGTTAATATAAAGTATGAATCAAACTTTTAACTAATTTTTCACTAAAATATCGTTAAATTTTAAACTCAAACTTTTGATCGGCAGTTTAAATAAATAAATCGTTTAAAAATGTATTTAAAACGCATATTTCATTTTAATTAAATTGTTAAATTATTCTTAAATTCCATTCCATTTTTCTGTTTTACTTTGTATTAAATTTGCGACTGAAAGGCATTGCCTCTGAATCTTTTTCAAAGTGCTCTAAAGTGCTTCCGCGTTTTACCGTATTCTGTCGGAAAAATATTAGAAGGGGTTTAGAGTACACGGGGGAGAGCAAATCTCGTCTCGCGCATGAATTGTATCGATGCCTCCAATCTCGGATATTGATTTCCACTTTACGAGAAGATCCCTCATCGCTATTTTTCGAGGCGTCTGTTTTCATAAGACAATGCAAATCCCATGAAAGGTAAATCCACAAGCGCAACCTCTTGGTTTCACTTGGGAGATTTTTTATTTTTTCCCGAAACGAAAAGTTGTTTCGAGGAGACTTGTTTTACAAACAAGATTTGCTCGTTCGGCAGGAAAACGCAGAAATGTTCACCAACCATTTGTGGCATTTCGCTCTGCTATCTTGGATTAAATGCTTCGCCTCAATGCCTTCATTACACGAAACACCGGAAAGGATTTCATGTCTCAGCGCGGCGTACTCTTGGCAGGCAGACATTTAACATAGTCTATAAATCCTAGTCATTAAGGAATCCTTCGACTTGCAACGTAGTTTGCTATAAATTTTGCAATCTCGACGATCAACAGCATACGCGCATACATTTATCCATTTATCCTTTCAAACACGAAAGCGTAAATAATAATTTACTTTTTAAACAATTTTATAGAAAGATCTATCCTCGTCGTGTGACTTATCTTAGCACACAAAAAATTTAAAGACTGAAATAAATAATTTGTGATCTTATGTTAAAAAAAACTGACAAGAAAAATCACCTATATTAATGATTTGACAAGCTTATTATTAAAATTTCCACTCGTTATTCCCCAAAATCGTCTTAATTATAATTATAAAAAACATTTACATAATTATAAATTTCTATAACACGTATATTCTTTAAATTTCATTCGATAATGAGATAATGAGATCCGATTTTCGTTTCCGATTTTCGTTTCGTTAATTAGTCATCATTATCAAAAGGCATGATGATTTCACTCTTCATCTTAATTAAAACAATTACAAACGCATACCTCCGTCAACCTACTTTGCGCATATCTTTGTGCAGACTGTATTTGCTGTCTTTAACGTCTATTTAGCTGATTTAGCTATACCTACCGTCTGTATTCTGTGTTTCTACTGTCCCCGCATTCGGCTGTCTCCATGTGCGCTGTGTCTGCACGTGCAGCCTTGTGTCTTTGTGTCTGACTAAACACTGTCTGTATCTACTATTCTCGCCTCGCATTCGTGATGGCCTACGCCACCTCGCGTCAATGATACATGTGCGCTCGCTCTATGGTGATGTATTATATTTCCACACGATCTTCCGCACGCTGAACGATCTATTGTCGACTAACTGTCTACGAATGTTAACGAGTACATATATGTGTGTGAACAAGAGCGAAAAGATTCAAGATCACAAATACGCACGGAGAGAAACAGTTCTGCTGGCGAATTTAAAAATTTGGCTAAATACAGATTTGAAAATAATTTTGTTGGACCATCGATAAGACATTTAAATGTTATAATAATTTTTTATCTTCCTGCAATCTTCCACCAATTTGAATGTCGTACGAAATTATCTGGCTAAATTTTTAGATTTGCCAGCACAAGTGTTCTTTTCGCGTACCATTACGTACGCATGTAAAATTCAAATAAAATTTTTACGAGGAAAACGTAAAAAGCGGAATGTGTCAGTTTTAAAGCCAAAGACGCAATTAATAGAAGTCTCCGCATACGTATCATGTATAATGTATTGCAAAATAAAAATTGCTCGATCAAAAATACCTAGGCGATTAACAATTAAAAGATGGCGAGGATTTGAAGTCTCTTTTCTTAACCAATGTTATTAATTTCATCAAAAATTGACTGCTATGTTACTAGAAGCTCGACGAGGGTGGGCACGGAAATTCGGTCACGTGATACACGAGAATTCAGCGGCTGCGGTTTCGCTGTGCGAGCTCACTCGAGGACATTTACGAGGCACTAAAAGATGAAAGCAGCCCGCTCACGTTCTCCCTCTCTATGGAGCTTTTCATCCCTAAATAGATTAAACGCGCGTTCCACGGTGTGTGCAAAGTGCGTGTTACGATGGCGGGGCGCAATGGGGGCGGCGGTCTTGATCCCTGGGAGAAACGCAAAAGTTGAGAGGTCTGGGGGTTCGCTCGCTCGTTCCTATCTTTTTAGGAAATCCAACTTGCTTGCCGTTTTACGAGAGACGATAAAAAAACGACCATTTCCGCCAGCCACTCAGCACGAATGCCCGAGAATGCGCACGCGTTTCTGCCTCATATTTCACCGTTAGTGTCTTCGGATCCGCGGAAAACGATGTATGGGAAAAAACAAAGTTCCCTCAAATAGCACCTTTTCCAGTTTATCCGATCCGGGCCAGCTTACGTGCCCTTTCCAGCCACTTTCCTGTCTCCCTCTCTCTCTCTCTCTCTCTCTGACGCGACGTCGCGAGATGTGATATAATTAATTATTCCATAACCGACACCGCGGAAAGCGGGCGAAGCTATTTGCAGATCCGCCTCGTCGCTAAATAATGCAGTTCTCGTCAGCGGAGCGAGCGAGAAATTCGGCCGATAGGGATTTGGCCTTATTCGAAGGTTAAACGTCTGCGCCATCGATCAGTCGCGGTGCTCGGTAATACTGCGGCTGATATTAAACATCTCTGCCAATCTTCGGAGTCCATGCAAAAATAATCGCGCCCGCGGTCCGCCATCCGCGTTAAACGTGGTTATCGAAACAGCATTAAGGTTTAATTTAACTCGACCCCGAGAGGCACCAGCTGCGACACTTTTCGTCCCTTCCCGTTGCGACGGACGGACGATGACAAATCGAAGAGAGAAGAGGCAAATCGCTATCGCGGAGACCTAATAATGGGAAAGGTGGAAGAAGAGCAGCCGTTCTTCCTCTTCTCTCGCCCGTAATTCTCAAGCCGCGCACAAATTGGATCGGCATCGGAACGTCGTTATCAGCTGCCGTCCTTTCTGTTTCTGTTTCCGCTTCTTTTGCCGCACGTCAAACTCGAGTTGTAGTTTTTTCCCCGCTGCGACAAGCAGGGGGAGAGAACTTATGCGGGCGGAAACCGCGCGCGGCAATGCGCCTGACTTATTTCCAGACTTCGGAACCTACGACCCGATAACCTTTTCCCTCGCTACATCATTATCGTCGGAATCGCTTTAAATTGGTAACGGTACAACTGTTATCTTGCTCTGATGTTTATTATGCCGAGAATACCGAGGTCAATAAAGAAAATAATATAAAATAATATAAATTAAAGATAGATCCTCGAGTGGAGAAAGTGTAAGAAGACCGCCCTTTGTTTGAGGAAACATGAGAACGATGATATATGTCAAAGATTGAAATTAGACGCTTAATTAGACACTGAATTTAATTAGAAGCAATACGATCCTAGAGATATTTTTTGAACTTCTATCTCCCGCGGATAAAGGATTAAATTACATTTACATCTTCTCAAAATGACTTCGGTGGCTTTATGTTCACTTACCTTGACTTTCTTGTCAACTTCCGGTCGTTCGAGCAGACAGGTTGTCTGTACGATATGCGTCGGCGGCGGTGGAGGTGCCTCGGGGTCGAAGTTCACATGCTGTCCGGCGGAGCCTCGTAGGAAACCGCCGGCGACGGAGGTGATTCGACCCCTCGTTGTGTCGGATGCCATTCTCAAAGGAAAGTTGTTCGTGCCACCTCCATTTGAACCGTTATCCTCTTCACCGGCGATGTCTTCACCAGGGGTTGCGCTGCCCCTGGCGAACTGCTCCTCATCTTCGTACGCGCTTTCTGAAATGTTAACAAGGGTGTCGTTAACACGTTATATCGCAATACATTCCTACCCTTTTGGGGTTATCCTATTGGGTTATTACATATTATATTAATTGGAAATTCCATTTATATATTATTTTATATGACATATTAATATAAAATAAAACTTGCATAGGAAGAGGATGCTTGCTGAAATAATCTGCCGAAATAATCTAAAAATATAGCCAGGTATAGATCTGAAAATAATTTTGTCGAATCATCAATGAAAAATTATGTAAGAATTATGTTTCAGCACAATGATTAAAATAAAAACTTTTATATTTTAGTAATCAATTTGAACTTCCTATACAATTATTCTGATTATAGCCCAATAAAATTATTTTTAGACTTGAAAATCTAAATTTTTAGATATTTCAACAGAACTTTTCTTTTCAAGTTTCAATAAAATATTGATATACATTATTAATACGATTTTTTTTAAATATACTGTAATTTTTATAAAACGTTAACAAATACTTAAGTTGCAACGAATTCAAACTCAGAAATATAAAGATTGAGAGGTTAATAAACATTACGATAATCTTAAAATTGAATTGTTATATTCTGTTAAAAACAAGAGAGAAAGTTTACATATAAATTTTATTTCATGAAAGATAATTCAACAAATACGCCACACTTTAATAGAAAGTATCCCATAATTGAAAAAAAAAAGTATAATCTTTTGTAATATTTTAATTATTATTATTCAAAATATAAAGCATTAAATAATTGCAAATTACAAGCTGTTAAAAATAAAAAGGTTTTCCTCTCTAATTAATTTCAACTATACATAAAAATACATTTAAATTTTGTATTGAATTTTCCCTGAAACCTCTCTGTGCATGTCGTAAAAGAATCGAGGGTCTCGTCGATCATCGGCAAATGCCGATTGCGCGAGAAATGTTCATCGTCGGAACAACGCAACGATGAACGACGCAAGACTATCCCCGATGAACTATTCGAAGGGATGATAGATCGGGGGACGCACTCTCTTTTATTGGTCGCGAGCAAACGCACGCGCGAGTCTGGCAGTTGTAGCCTTTTACGATGGATACACCACGGATACACCACGGATCGCCATGTTAATTCTCGGAGGACGGTGCAATCGACACGCAATAATGTCGATGCTCGTAATGTCGCCGGTATTTTACGTCATCGGGCTCAAAGCGGAAAATTTAATTGCGAGAGTCAAGGATTATCAATGTCGATGAGTCGACAAACATTCCCGGATGTGACAATGGAATTTTGGAGGCGCGTTAACGCCAAAATTCTGCTCGGAAATTGTAGAACGAGATCTATGTCTACTGCCTTTCATCACATATCATCCACGTGATGTCTGACAGCGAGCTTTCCTCGCGTCAATTATAAACTATGTAAATTATGCCTGCCAGCTGTGTTTCCTACGGCGGGCCGTTTGCGCGGCACTCGCGAACGCTCGAATATTGCTGCTGGCGAAAGAAAGATCACGAAAATATAAGAAGGTTGCTCTTTAAAATTTTATAAACGAAAAAGAATCGTTTTTTCGCGTAAAATAGACTCGAATAGATCACGAGCGAGCGAACGAGAGCTAAAATGCAGCTGTAAGTTGCGTAATTATTTATGATAACTGCAAGCAATGCTAACGACATAAAAAAAGTCAAAACGTGTTGCTTTGCTTCTCTGCTAATTTTTTTTAATGACCTGAAAAAGAGGAAGGATTCAAGCTTTCTACAATGGGTCTTCCACCATGTATTATGCAATTCTGAAAGTCCAAGTCTGCAGTCTCGAGATGAAATAAATTTATAAATTATTTTGCTCATTGTCTCAATAAACGTTTCGATAAATCGATTTTAATTGTGGTTGTGGCGGATTGTGTTTAATGCACGATACAACCACTGTCTGGGCAATCGCAAGATGATTATCTATCGTCGCGCATTGATTAATCCGCAGAGAAATAATCTTGGCGCCGCGCATCGCTCGCGCGCATTCGCGAAAAATGATCGGTACTATTTATTGAACAGTAAAGTTGCATGACAGCCCGCTCTCGTAAATTCAGGCCAACGACTATCGGATTCAGCGGGAGATGCCGAGAAATAAGTACCCTTGCGATTAATGAGCGCGGACCGGTGAGGGGGGGGGGGCGGGAAAAAGGGTGCTTTTACTACTGCTCAATTCGCGAGAGCGGAATAATTGTACGTCGCCGTAAATTCGTGCCCGTAATATGAGCCATCTCGATTTCTTTGGACGCTATTAATCTCGATTGCGAACACGCTTTTATGGGGGCAACAAACCAGTATCGTTATCCCGCCATCGCGGCGCTGCTCGGAGAACGAGATTATTAAAGACGGATAATTTGTATAAAGCAGCGGTACCGTATGCTGGGCAAACAAGATAATGGATTTGTACAATTTGCCGTCCCACATTCGAGTCAATAGAAATGAGAATGCTTAAATGAGAGGCTACGGCAAGGAGAATAAAAAGCAAAAAGATTAATCACCTGTGTCTCATTATATAAAAGAATGTTATACAAATCGTGAAGAAAGATAAATGGCTAACCAAAATATTACGTTATAATGTATAGTAATGAGTATTTTAGATATAGATTATAAATAGAATTTGAAAACAAAATTGCAATTTTAGCGATATACTATTTTAGCGATTAAATTGTATTGATATTGGTACTAAAGTAATATGTATATAATAATTATAACAATGCTACTAATATTCGAATAATTATTTCAAAACATATTGTTCAGACACGAGATGAGGAAATTAAATGAGCATAAGATCACGGGAATAGAAGCATTGATTGCGCTTAGGTGCAAATACAAAGACCGAGTGAGTTGCATGTTGTACAAGTTAATTTATTCCACCAATTCCGAAGCTGCTCATTGTTCTGAATAATCGTTTAAGGAACTGAATCCTACAAAGGAAATGGCATCAAATTATCTGTCAGACCTATTACCTAGTTTCCGGGAAAGAGCAAATTACCAATGTTCCCTGTGTACAGCTACAAGTAATTAGTAATGAACGAGTTAAAAACTTGACCTCCTCATTCCCGATGAGGTCATATTGATACACATCAAAGCGCTTACGTTGCCGAATCTCTCGCATTAAAAATGCATGAAGCGTTCCGCATTAATATTTATGAAAGTTATTATCTCCATGATGCGAAATTTCGATCGAATTAAATGTTCAATACAAAGTCGAGATCACAAAATTGCGAAAACAATTTTTCAAACCAAATATATATGTTTCCCATGTTACTTTGTTATAAATAATTTATGGCTTGCATTAACATAAATATACAAATGTACATACATAGATATACGGACATGTGATAATAAAGGCTGTACTAGCGACTCTAAATTTCTGACTGAATTTTAAGAAAACTAATAATTTTTTATTTTTAGATCGTTGAGATTTACTATTGTTAAATAATATAGTAATATGTTGTAAATATATTATATAAAAAATATAATCCTCGAGATGAAACAAGGACTGCAATTAAAAAATATTCGACTAATATTTCAATTAATATTTCATGAATACATTCCCTTCAATTTATTTGTATGATAAACGCGTAGATCTATTACATTTTACACGACCATTTGTCATGTGACACTTGTAAAATATTGTATATTAATATTGTTTCATGTTATTGCTATATACAGAAATTCTCAAACCTGTTTTATCAAACGGAAATATTTCTTTTACACAATATATGAATTTTTATCTCACGAAAAATCAACTTTTAACGTTTACTTCTTCACGTATATACCGTACGTCGGGCCACTTGAAAGATTTATTAAAGGAGAGTTATTTGATCGATAAATTACATGCACCGCGGGATGGAAGGGAACACCAAGCTTAAACTTTGCGGTTCATCGACAAGTTTGTAATGGAATTACTCGGCCGAGTTTCAAAATCTGTCATTTAAATTGAGATAGGAAACGCCTGAATCTACGGCAGTACACAACATGCGTTCATAGTAAATTACGCGACGTGCCAGCTTTCCAAAGTTTAATCGGAAGCTTTTGTTAACACACGTCTACGTAGACCAGAAATTTCAAATGGAGATTCACATTTCATCTTATTTCACAATCACTCTTCATTCTTAATTTCTCCTGAGAAATACGCTCCTTTTTTGTTTAGGCGCAATTACACAATTCTCCCTTTGGCTCACACATACAATTGTGACAGTCGATAAAAAACTGAAACCGTTATCCGAATACTTGAACGCGGATTATCTTACACTCGAATATGCGAATCGGAGCGGAAGGCTCCGTAATATACGCGAATCCGAAATTAGAATTTCAGCTCCGCTGACTTCGGAGGAGGAGAGAGAGTGCGACGTATTACTGGGTATGCGCCGAGATTGCTGGAAAATTTCTTGATCAAATTGAATTACCCGTTACTCGCCGACGGTACGTCGGTGCTCAAAACCTCCCAGATTCACCCCAGCGTTGTAAGTTGATAATGGAATTACGCCGGATCGAGTTTCGAAATCTGCCACTTAATCGATGATCAGAGACAGGTACGGAAACTGCTGCAGGAGCAGCAGTCTATCGCCGATAGCCAACCTCTCGTATGCTGTTGCACCTGTTGCACGCCATCTCATACTTGTCCGATAAATAATTTTACAATATCGACTATCCACGTGTATCTGTGCGAGCAACGTCGCTCACCGACCGGCGATATCTCAAATAACTTCGTAATCGCCGTAATATTAAAGGCCAGTACCAATATTTTAAAAACAGGCAATAAATTAAAAATACGGCAATACGAATCAAGCGCGCACTTTTTTTTAACGTACTATTCGCTATTAATATCGCGAGTAATATTATTTCTAATCTTGGAATTTCTAAACGTGTATATCCCATGCCCGCGGGGGGGGGAAATTTTTAAGGCGATACTAATTGTTTTATAAAAAATTCCCACGAGTTTTCGGAGGAAGAGTTGAGAAGAATCGACAGTTTTGTAATCGCTAATCGGACGAT